GTCCAAGAGTAAGTGATATTATCAGTGTGTGTGCTCACAGCAGTGCAGGATTGGAACATAAACAGCAGGATATAAGCACTTCACCTGCTGTGCTTGTAGGCATTAATTGATATGGAAAAAACCCCACAAATATCTTTGCTGAAGCAGTGAAACCACTTCAAAACCTGGGGTTTGAGCAGGGCTCATTCTCCACCACAGGGACACATGCTGAGCTAGAAGTAGCCAGGGAAAGGCCCAAAAAAACCAGTCATTCCTCAGAGAAAAGGAGAATTAGACATTGAGGAGTTCTTGTTTTGTTTTGTTTTTAAACAAAAAAAGAGCAGAGAGCAGGAAGAACAGTTCATGCCTCAACTATCACATGGTCTATACCTCAGTTGGACTTAAGCTCTGATGTTCAGAGTAACCTCATCTTAATTTGTTGTAGTCTGACCACACAGGGCAAGGGCTCGAGAACTCTTTTCCCCCCGAGTTTGGTGTCAAACAAGGACAGGTATTTTACCTGCTCCTTAACTCCCTGCCCACACTTGCAGTGTTGCTTTGGGCAGGCAGAGAACACCCCTGTTTGCAGAGGCACTGCTGGAGTGCACAGTGTGTGTTGGGATCAGCATTTTTGTTTGTGCACAGACAGGTAACCATAATTAATACAGCGGGGCCCTGATTTTTATTTTATTATTATCTGACCTGACCCAAGCTTTGCTCTAGATTGCAACAACATGACAAATACACACTGCTCTGTGCCAAGAGACATGGAAGCAACATCTTGACACCAAGGAAAAGGAGTTTTCTTGTGATGTACTTGCAAAATAGCCTTTTAAAAGTGAAATTTCCTGACCAATGTATCATAATACAAAATTACCGAGTATCAAGTTGCCTTTACCTTGCTTTGGACCCTAAGCACCAAATTAACTGCTTCTGTAACATCACTGCTGCAATTGAGAGTTGTATCAGAGATAAATATAGCAAGTCTGGCTTGGACTTGGGGCCTTATCTGGTAAACTCCTCAAAAAATTGCACACACCAGCCTTCCTCTCCCAGGCAGCGAATTAATGCACTCAGGAAGCCTTCCCTTTCGTAGAAAGCAAGACAGTGCTGAATAAATTTCCACAATTAACAAAAGAACAGAGACATAGAGCAGCTGATGTAAATAAGAATAAAAGCAGCTCCCTGAGTTCTACTGAACACGTTCTTTGTTGGGCTGTAGTGACTGAATTCTGTGCCTCAGTTTCTAAGTCAGTAACATGAATTGTAAACTGTGAGTCTGCCAGGAGGCAAATCTGCACATTGATATCTGCAAACTGCTTTTTGATGAGTAGGGAAAACTAAGAAGGAGCAGGTGTTATGAGTAAAGAAGGCAAATTTGTTACTGGACTCAGCAGCAGAGGGGAACTTCCATGGAAAATGTGGAATGGAGTTAGACCAGAAATCAAAAGGTGTCCTGCGAGCTGCAAAACCCAAAGAAAAGCATTGTCAGCCACAGGGGAGAATTGCTGGATCCAGGAGATGGAGCAGCCTGATGGAAATACTGTTTTGGTGATTCGTTTTTTGGGATATATTTCTGTCTCACAGTTCAAAAAATTCTCCTTAATTAGCTAAGTCCTGGGATGCAGATCAATAGTTTGGACATCCCTCACTCAAGCAGGGATGTAGAATTTGTGGGTTTGGCTTTTCTGTTTGGTTGGCTGTTTTTTGGTGGTTTTTTTTTGTTTGTTTGTTATTTTTATTATTTGTTTTTAGTGTATAAGGATCATTACTTTGACCGTTGGATCTTCAAAAAAAAATGTAAAAAGGATAATACTAGATGTGAGATTTCTGGTCTTGATAGTTGAATAGATTTCATATTAGCTCCCTTCCTGTCAGAAGACACACCAGGATATATCAGACGACATATTCAGTCAGGTCCATCACAGAAACTTGGTGGTTGAAACACAGATGAAGGCTCTTCAGGTGAAGGTGGATCTTAAATATCTAAACTGCAGTCACAGAGATATTCTATTTCTGAAAGAAACTGTTTCATATCTAGGTCAAATTCCCCCATTTTTCTAGTAACAATATTTTTCTTCTCTTAGTATTTTGAAGCTCATACAAGTAGGGATGACTGGGCTGGAGGGAAACGCGTCTTACCCAAAACTCTCTTATTATTTTCAGCCTACAGAGTCTTAACTTGAGCCAGATAAACTATTCATAGTCTAAACTCACCTGGCCTAGCAGCACTTTTGCTAACATTGTATGGAAAAGGGGTGTTTTCTTACATTAACTCCCCTTCAGAATGTATTTAACAAGGTCGTTCTCCCTAAGCATAGTTTAAATTCAAGGCGGGCTCTATAACTGCTCGGAACAGTCTCTCAGGGCTCTCACATTGTTTGACAGGATAAGCCCATAAAACACCATCAATAGCCTTGTGTACAAAAGCACAAAACGGTTTCCTGATTTCCTGACGACTTGAGTGTTCTGGGAGAGAACTATCTGGAAGAGAATTAGTGTTGGAATGTCCTGTGTCAAATGCAGGTACCTTTGGGGTTTTTTTACTGAACTTACCACCATTCCTTGCATCTGAATTCACCTTAATGGGGAAGCACAGAGGACTGTCATTACTGCAAAGATCCATAATTATGGTCAAGAAACTCATGTAATACATCCATGAAAGCTCTCAGAAAATGTGAAGCATCTGGTCCAGAATTTAAGGAGGCAACTCTGCAGAATTTCTCCAGGAAAGAGCCTAAAGTACATGTTGCAGAAGCATGGAACTCTTAACACCTGGGTCTGCCAAAACCCAGTTCCAAGTGGTGGCAGAATTATTTTTAAAAATAAAGTATTCCTAGGAAAGGTTTATTCTTTTTTTCACAGCTGTATTATTGCTGTGACACTTTAGATTTCTATTCTAGAGTGCACCTAAAAAACCAGAAGTGATGTACAAGTACAAAGATCATTGGAAGTCCTAGAGTCGGGGTTGTGGTGTCCTTTCCAGGCCGGAATCTGGGACACAACCATGAAGCTGTGTATCTCCTTCTCACATCACCTCCAGTGGCACTGCAACAAGCAGAAGAAAACAGCCAGAGCTGCAGGTCCCTGGGGATGTGTGCAGAGTTCCTGACTGACAGCTAAACAAATGTAACCTCTGCATTGGGGTATGGAGTAGCTTGGTTGAGGAATGTGGGAAATAACTCGTACCAGATGCCACAAAGGCATTTCCAGAGAAGTCCTATTAATTATATAGTTGTACTTTAAGCAGCTGTATTGCTTGTTTTCCTGATCTCCTTCTCAGTGCTGGGGCAGAATGAATTCCTGTGGATTAGCTTGTTCATAGGTAATCCTATTTAGTGGGTGTCTGTGCTGCAGGGCAGTCTTGGCTTCCCACCCATTCACTCAGGAATGTTTATATTTAGCTATTTTTTGGAAACAGAGCTCCAGCTGCAGCACACAGCAATTACTTTGGATGGATCTTGTTTTTCCTCAGGACATGTCGTTTTCTTGGTGGAGACTGAACAGTCTCACTAGAAATATGTCACTTTGCCTGAACAGAGTTTTGAAGAAAAGTACGTTTAACTAGTATGGCTCCAGAGCTACGTTAGAGCTTGATGAGACTTGCAGCCATCCCACATTCTTCTTTTCATTCCTTTGGGATGCATATTACTGTTATTAAAAATTGATTTGTAAATACCAGATGTGTTCTAGGGCAATTTTATTAACCAAAAACTCTGGTGAGAAAAGAAATGTCAAGGTGTCTTAGTACATTTTGCCTCTCTAACGTCTTAATGTTGAGATGTTTCTTCACTCTCTTGTAGGATGGTGTTAAATATTATTAAATTAATGGACATGAGTCTCTCTTCCATTCCAGAAGTGGGTGAAAATCAAGTAACAAAGCAGAGATCCCTATGGAGATATTTTCTACATGCAAATTTCAATTGCTTTGGCACCTGCTGTTCTGAAGGGCTTGCAGCAAGCTCTTGATGGAGAACTGATGAAAGGAACCTGTCAGCTTTTATGAGTTTTGGGATCTTTATTTTTATCCTTTGACATTCTTTGCAGAGCTGTCAAAAAGCACTGTCCCCTCAGTGATGGCTATAGGACTGCTGCAGACATTTCTTGGATCCAGGTGTGTGACTGGATGAAATATCACCAAAAAGAGACACTTTGGAAGATCCTGCTCTCGAAAAGGATTTGGAAGAAGTTGTAATGGTGTGAACCAAGGGGCTCTCTGCTTTAGTTTTCCAAATGTAGATGCTGTCCCAGCAAAGAACGCTGTGTGGCCATGCAGAATGCAAGCAGCTCTTGCATTCCCAAGGAGGCTGGAAGGAAACTGGCCCTATGACTGTCCAAAGATTATCCTCTAGCAACAATTCCAAATGAAACGTGATTAAAACCCCCAAGCTCACCTCTACTGAGTATTTTACACTTATGTTGTAGAAATAAAGGTGCTTCATCTATTATGTTGAAATAATGAATGGACAAGACCCGAACATGCTCCAGAAACAGCTCACTCTGCTCTGTGTCCCGCACTCCTCGCTGCTGCTCCCAAACCTTGTGACAGGGAGTTTGCTGCTGCAGACTTCCCGTGCCTCCTGCTTCTCCAGGAAGACTGCAGCAGGCTGCACAGTCCCCCTGGGACTTCAAGGGGAAGTGCTTCCTGTCGGGGCAGGATAATACCCCTTGACATACACAGCCCTTTCCTCTGGCCCCCCTGCCCAAGGAGCGTCTGCTCATAAACACAGACGGTGGAGAGTCAGGTTTGTTTTTAAACAGTTAACAGAACAAAGGTGGCTGGAGGTCAAATTCTAAACCCTGCAGAGACACATTATTTGCTTCATAGTCTGTATTAGAGAGCAGCAGTACCTCCCAGTCACAGCACTATACTGATAATATTGCTGAATTGGATCAAATCTACTTAGTATCTGTTATCAGTTTCAACTAAGAGAACAGTGTTGCAATTAAAGGCTATAAAGTAAATTGAAGATCACACTTGCTTTATAGAAATAATTGCTAGAATCTTGGTGGTACCTTACCTCTTGTCTTCAAGAAGTGAATAAGGGAGGGGAGTGAAGGCATTTGGGCTGAGCATCACCGAAGATCAAGTCCAGTGCTGTAAAATAACAGAAAATTCAGTGGGACCCGAAGCTTACCCAATGGAATGTTATTTTATCTATTGCTACAGTATCTTTCTTGGGAGGTGATATATTCCTGCCTTCTCATTTAAAATCCTGCAACAGAAGCATTATGATACAAAGAAAGCTGAGTTGGTTACAAAGCAGCTGCAATATTGCAACAGTGTAATTTAAAAATTAGGAAAAGCCATCACTATGATTCACGACAGCAAACCAGGAAAGTGATTTCCTTCATGTACCTTTTTCCCCCTCTTATATTATCATATCTGCTCCACTGTAAAAAGTCAGATGGGTTATTCTCCTCCTAAGAAAAGCCAGATGCCCTCTTTCTGCCAACAGACACTTTTCTGGAAGCAGGGAATCAATCTGTTTACATGTAATGAAAACATTCTACAGATCCATCAAATAAAGTGCTCCAACATCATTAATAACTGACTACTGTTAATAAAACACCACAAGGAAAGATAATGTAAAACAGTCCTAAATCATTACTAACGCATGCAAGAGTCTTATACTATATTTCTTAATATTCTGGTTGCTCCCACAGACAAATTCCAAACCCTGGGACTCTGACTGCTTCCTACAAATCTACAGTATGTAGTGCACAGGTAGCAATAATTTGCAGCAAACATAACAAAATACTGCCAAAGCAACAGAAGTGCTGTAGAATCTGGCAGAATGGATGCAAACTATGCGCTTTGGGCCTTGGATTTACCAGAATCCCCTGTGTCTTCATGCACGTGTGCTTCCATTGCTCTGCTTTCCACAAAAGGGAGATTCCAGGCCATTTAATCATAAATTCCTGGGATGACTCTCTCTCCTTGTTTGTGGGATTTGTTTTCTAATTGTGTTTACATTCTTGTGTGTGGGTTGGGAATTTAGGTTTGTTTGTGATGAAACATCAAAGTTGAGTCCCCAGTTAATACTGTGCAGTCATATATTCCTTGCACCTTCCCACAAGAGGACGACAGCAACACACACAGTTACCAAGTTTTATGCAACACCAATGGGATTAAACTAATCTATAAACCTTTGTGTGATGTGATTTTGCTTTCTCATTCGATTTCCCTGCTGTTATTTTTTCTGTTGTTTGCTTATTGAATTTTATGTTCCTTTTTCCTACTTTACAAAAAAAAAAGCTTTCTAAATCTTCATGTGAAATAAAAATTATTTTTAATATTCTGTAAACAGCCACATGTATTTATTTGATACTTTTGATTCTGTTTGTCAGAAAGCAGCATTTTAATCCTGGCACATGCATTGCACAGGTCTGTGGCCCATAATCTTTCCTCACACAGTGGTTACTGTACAAATCACATGCAGGAAATTATCAGCAGTCAGAGCTGATAAAAGCTCGAACTGAGATTGCTGTACTTTGTCACAGAGTCTTTTCAGTTAGCAAAGGCTACACAAGTAATTCAGCAGAACTGCAAGTAAATAAAAACTCCTAGAGTTCTGCAGAAGAATTTTGTTGTTTAAAATCGATAGGGTGAAGACCATAAGAGTGGGGGCTTTGTGAGAGAAGACACAGCTGACAGAGATTCTCACCAACATAAAGTTAATCAAAGCTACCATTTGAGAGTTACCCCAGAAACTTTTTCTCCCCCAAATGTTGAGATGTTTTCCAAGCAAAATATTTATATCTGAAAGTGCCATGCAGATCTACACAACACATTAACTGCTAGCACAACAATCCAGTGGAGAAATCCGTCTATGCTTCTCACACTGAATATTCAGCTCTGGTTTGGGATCCTTTTTCACCAGGATCAGGCTCATATTTAACCATTTCGCTCTTGTGACTGCTTCCTTCTGTACCAGCAGGGAAGAATCTCATCCATCCATTCCACCTCTGAATTAGAAACCAGACTGGGGAACTGATCTATCTGGCTTTAAAAATACATACATCTATTTTAAAAGTGTTTATGTATTTTACATAAAGTATCTTCATAAAGATTCTCACCTGGTTCATTTTTCAGTGTCCCAATGTGGTTCCCAGTGCACCACACACAGCTGAAGGCTGGTGTGCTGTGTTACAAGGAAGGAACGAGGAGTAAGTAGGAACCAGTAACAGAGCAAAGGCTTTGTGTCATCAAGCCACAGCCTTATTTACAACGTGGCTGCTTTTGCCTGGACTAAAACAGAAATTAATTTCAGTTCCTTACATTTGTGTTTGCTCTGCAGGAGAACAGTGTCCTCCATGAATCCATTCAGTAACCATGACTCAGTGCCATTCCTTTATTGCAAAACCAAACCAAAATTCCAGCGTACTTATACAATAAACTTTCACCATATCTTAATTATGGATGGACACACTGTCCATTCAGAAAAACAGGTCAGCACACAGGATAAAGATCTCCAGCGAGTGCTAACTAGACAGAATTCCTAATTTTAAAGGAATTCCCCCGGGGTTTGTCTCTGATGCCCCAAGTTCACCCACGCATTTCCTGTCCTCACCGAGGAGCTGCAGGCTGCATGGAGAAGAGTGTTTCTGTGCTAAGGTTTAAACCTCTCCCCTCAGGAGAGACCTCCAGCTCCACAGAGCTCAGCTTAAGCCTATGCCTGTTTACACACAAGACTATTCAATATCAATGAGTTCTGGCTTAGTGAATCCAGGCTGTGGTGTGAGGTTGGCTGCCAGTGCAGACACAGCATGATGTCTCTGCACCAGGCTCTCGTGCTTGTTTCTGAGCTGGCAATGCACTTCCAGCCTTATTCCTAAAATATTTTTCATTCAGAATATTTAATAGATGTTATCCATTCTCATCAGCCTTGGTGCTTCAGAGGAAATACTATCAAACATTTCGTTTGGTCTAAGCAAAATCGATGGGTTTGCACAAGTGGATCACAGTTCTCAGTCAATACCTGACACTTCAGGTCCTGTGGTAACATGGATCTTGCGGAGCAAAGATGGATTGTTGGTGTGCCTCAGTTCCAGTGGGTTTCCAAAAATGGTCTAAATGAAAAGGAGAAAGGGCCTTGTTGCATTTTTGGTGGTGCATCTCCTACAGTCTCCCTCACTCACTGACAAGCACAGCTCACAGCCCCTCCTTGGGACACTTCCACAGACAAAACCAGGGAATAGACAGAATTACAGATTACATGGGAAATTTAGCACACAATGGATAAACTGAAATAAAATCATAGAATGGTTTATGTTGGAAAGGACCTTAAACATCATCTAGTTCCAGTCCCCAAATAAAAGATGATCTCTTCTCTCTGTACCAGCATTTCCTGAATATTCTTGAATAACACAAATCCCCAGCCCTGCTGAAGCAGAGAAGGTGTTTTCAGGGCACAGAAAGCACTTCCTTCTCTCTCCATTTAGGTCTGTATCAGCAACTTTGGGACATTCCCAAATGATCAGATGCAGACAGGTCTGTGCTAGTTCCACACATACTCTTAGTGTACAAAGATTTCCTTCTTAGATCCTCCTATAGATGATGGTTTAAAGTACATTTTTTTTTCTTTATTGGGTGAAACATCATCCTCTTTATTACCTCAGGATGTTCTCATCTGCAGAAAGGGCATTTCCAAGGCTGTGTGATGAATCAGAGAAGGCAATTATAACCCAGAAAGTATGATGGGGTGAATTTTGGGGGATTGGTCTTCCTTTGGGAGGAATTCCTACTTTGGATGTAGTGCTAACATAGCTTGAGAACTTTTAAACCCCACTGGTTTGAAGCATGAGAGTTACAGGGAGCTGCCTCAATGTGAACACTGGAACCTGGACCTGTTTAGAGTTTATAGAAACAACAGGGAAATCAGCACTCCCTTGTATCCAGTGCCATCCCCTCCCTGGCTCTTAAAAAGCATCACGAGGTGCCCCGTGGCCCCACAGCACCAGAGCTGGCAATGGGCTCACTCATTTCCTAAACTTTTATGGTTTACCTTGACAACAAATTAAATGCAGCAGAATCCTTCCCAATTGCCAGTACTTCCACTTATTGCCCAGAAGAATGGGCAGAATGTAAGGACAAAAAATAATCTCCCCCCAAATTCTGTGGGTTTTCAGCCAGCTGAGCTACTACGTGCTCCTTGTACTCAGAACAGCACTAGGTTTACTCTCTATATTCTATTTTACAGGGTTTTTTTCCCAGGGCAGAGACCTAAGAACACTGGTAGAAGGAAAGAGCCTTCTACACTCCTCAGCAGGAGGCTGAGCAGAATCACCCCAGGCAGCAAGGGGACAGGGAACAGCCTCAGGGGAGCAGGATTGCCCCAAGGGGACAGGGAATGCCCTCAGGGCAGCAGAATTGACCTGAGAGGAGTGGAAATACCCTGAGGGGAGCGGGAATGCCCCTGATGGCAGCGATATTGCCCTGAGGGAAATGGAAACACTCCTAAGGGGAGTGAGGTTCCTCTGAGGGGAGCAGTCAATCCCCTGAGGGCAGTTGGAATGTTATGAGGGGAGCAGGATTCACCTGAGGGGAACGGGAATGCCCCGAAGGGAGAGGGATTCCTCTGAGGGTGGTGGGAATCACCCTGAGGGGAGTAGGAATTACCTGATTGGAGCAGGAGTGCTGTGAGGGGAACGGGAACACTTCTGAGGGGAGTGGGAAATGCCTGAGGGGAGTGGGAAATGCCTGAGGAGAGTGGGAATGCCCTGAGGGGAGCGGGAATGCCCTGAGGGGAGCGGGAATG